CACACACACACACACACACACACACACACACACACACACACACACACCACACCACCATCACCACCACCACTAACAACAAACAAACTAAAACTAAAACTTTGGATCTTTTTTCTGCAAGTGATTTAAAGTTATATTGTTTCTTAGTACTTTTAGACCTGTCATCTAATTAATTCACATTTATTGATTATAGAAGTTGGATAACCAAAGTCTATGAACAGCATGATGCCATAATCTAAATGTTACACAGAACTGCACTACCACTCTAATTGTGTTTAGGCTTTGAGTTTTCTTTGCTAATGTTTTAGATCAAGAACACTACATGAAAAACCTGCTTGACCGGTTTTGTTTTAAACTCCACTACATTATTATCTGTTTTTCTTTTTAGCATGTACAGACCAAGGTTTTGTCCATAAAATGGAGAATGGAGTGTGTTAGGAGGGGAGGAATTTGAAGAGCAGTGGGGGCTGGGCACGATGCTCAGTTGCTAGACTGTTTGCTTAGCGTTTGGAAGCCCTAGGTTCAATTTTCAGAGCAACATAAAACTAGGCATGACAACACATGCCTGTAATTCCAACACCTGGGAAATGGAGGCAGGAGGATCAGGGGTTCAAAGTCACTCTCAGCTATAGAGGAAACTGAAGGCCAGCCTGAGATACATGAGACCCTGTTTTTAAAAAACAAAACAAACAAATAAAAGCAATGTGGTTACAGGTTTCTTGCTCTCCCCCCCCCCCCTTTGCCTTGCAAGATTGATGAGAAATGAAATGTTCTGCTCGGGCATATAGATCATATATCTTGCCTGGCATGCTTAAGATCCTGAATCCAATCCCCAGTAACACGTGGGGCATGGAGGAGAGTGTTGTTTCAACAATTCCCATGTTCGGATCCTTCCCTTACCTCTGAGGAATTGCTGGTTTTCCCTCTTCTATTTTTGGATGGAGAGAAGAGCACTCTGCTTTGAATCATGAGGTCCATTACTTGGTTATTTTCTGGCAGGCTCCCACAGGCAGTGGTTTTGATCACTCCGGTCTGAGACTTTGTCCTCATATGTGCAGGTCAAGCATCCCCATGAGGGAGTCAGATGGATGCATAGAGAGGAATGCCAAATGCCAATGCCACCTACTGTCAGCAGCAGAACTGCCAAATGGGTCAGGGACTAGTTTCACCTGGACTGCACATCTTCTGGTGGGAGGGTTCGCATGAGAACAAGCAAATAACAGAAAGGGGGTTGAAAACATCAGACTTGGGGGCTCAGGGACATATCGTTTTACCCCCTACCTTTTCATAACAATATATTCACATAACGGTTACTTCACAGAATGTTCCCCCCAGGAGAAGAGGCTTGTCTTGAGCCACAAACAGTGGACAGCAAAACTAGAAAGAAATACGGGTGTCTCTCTCCAACCTGGCTCTTTCCCACTCACTTGACTGATCAGCATTGCCAGATGACCTTCACTGGCCCTTTCAAAGTGTCTCCCCTCGGACGCTTGGCTCCCCTCATTTAACCTCTATCTATCTGTAAAATATCTGCGTCTCCCTTTCACTTTGGACTCTCTTTCTTCACCATCCTTTTAGCTTGTAAGTATCCCAAACCCTATAGGTTATGAAACAAATCCCCAAACCCAGTTCTTAAAAACAACAATCATTTCAGGATCTTTCATAGCTTCTACGGGTCAAGTATTTGGGTAGAAACTGAGTAGGCAAGGCTGGCTTGTAGTCCTTCGTGGAGCTGCAGACAATCAGTGGCTGGAAGTAAACAGTGAAGGAAACTGGGTATAGTGTAGGTTGCCTGTCGCCAAACCAAGCCAAGTTAACCACACCCAGGGTTGGAGCAGGGACTCTAAGTTGGCTCTCAATGTGGGTTAGTTGAGCTTCCTCACAACATGGTGGCCTTGGAGCAATCAGACCCTGTAGATAATAGCCAACTCCCCTCACCTTTTGCCATACCCTTAGTTGGTCAAGAAGGTCTTCACTAAAGCCTGATCGGTTTCAAGGAGAAGCAACATAGACCCTGACACTCAGTAGGAAGATTGTCAAGGTACATTATGAAGAGCATATGTAGATAGAATTGGCTATTTGCCTAACAAGCTTCGATGTAGAATGCCTGGGGCTTCTGGAGGGGAGATGGTGATGGCTTTTGGTAGTTAAATGAGCTGAGTTCTTAGCTTCCCTGGGTATAAGGTTAATGGAAAGAGTGTAGGTGCCCTGTACCAAGGGAACATCTTAAGGCTTCCATTGTGGTCTTCTTTGTCAAGTTCCCCTCTTCTTTCCACACTGGCAGGGCTGAGAGAGAATGCAACTTTGCCCTGTTTTTTCCATGTCTGTCTTGTAAACCAGCAGAACCACACCTAACCTATGAAGGACAGTTGTGGCCAAGACACTGTCCAGTGTCTTAGGGTTTCTATTGCTATGATGAAAGCATGGCTAAAAACAACTTAGGAAGGAAAGGGTTTATTCAGCTTACACTTCCACATCACGATTCATCATTAAAGGAAGTCAGGGCAGGAACTCAAACAAGGCAGGAAATCTAGAGGCAGGAGCTGATGCACAGGGCATGGAAGGATGCTGCTTCCTGGCTTGCTCCTCCTGGCTTGCTCCGTCTGTTTTTTTATAGACCACCAGGACCCACAACAGGCTGAGCCTTCCCATGTCTATCACTGATTAAGAAAATGCCCTACAACAGGATCTCATGGAGACATTTCCTCAATTAGGTTCCCTTCCTTTAGATGATTTTAGCCTGTGTTTAGTTGACATAAAACTAACCAGAGCAGGTCACATGGCTTGGCCTATTGAATGGACTTTGAGGCCGTTTGCCCCTTTGGTGGGAATCCTTCTGCAGTTATGCAGACTGCATTGCACACAGCAACTCAATAGTATTAGAAAACAAACAGACTCAACATGGAAGTAACCAGATTTATCTGGAAGGAGGGAGTGATGGAGTAAGAAGGTCGGTCTACCCAACAGGAGAGACATAGATGTCCTGCTTAGGTCACCCAGTTAAAATGATCCCAGTCATTTTACATAATCACTGTGTTTGTTTGTAACAATCTATTTTTAAAATCTTTGTATAACGTTTCACGGTCAGCTTCCATGATGCCTTGTATGTAGTAGAAACTCAGTACGTACCTCTTGAATGAGTCAGTACAGTATTTTAACGAGCAAGTCTACATGTACTGGTGCAAAAGAACAGTGTCATCTTACAGCTGAAGTCATAGAGGAGAAATAGCCCATGCCACTCCAGGTGCCTGGAGTGAACAGTCCAGAGCTTTGTCTGAATTCTCAGTGGACTTCAGTAGCATTAACACTGTTAAAAATCACATTCATTAGTTTATCTGCATGGGGGTGGGGGCGGGGCATGTGCACACCGTGGTACATGCCAAGGTGCACATGTGGAGGGCTGAAGCCAACTTACAGAAATTGGTCTGGTCCTCTCTACCATCTAGAACAAACTCAGGCTGTTGGGCTTGGTGCCGAGTGCCTTTACCTGTCGAATTGTCTTGCCAGCTCAACACTCTTAGTTTAATAAACTTTAAAATCACCCCCACCCCACACCCCACTCCCAATCTTAAGATATATCTCAGGCTTGTTCCTCTTGTCACTGATTCTGGGCTAGGCTGGTAGTTCATACTACTACAGCTGGCATCTTATCGAGACTGCCCTGTTTGTGTGATTAGATCCCAAATTCTACTAACTTGCACCTTCTTTCCCTGTAAACATTTTAAAGATAAGGACAGAATTCAGTGTTTTTTACATGAGGTTCTCTCTCTCTCTCTCTGTCTCTCTCTCTGTCTGTCTGTCTCTCTGTCTGTCTGTCTCTCTCTCTCTCTCTCTCTCTCTCTGTCTCTCTCTGTGTCTCTCTCTCTCTCTCTCTCTCTCTCTCTCTCTCTCTCTCTCTCTCTCTCTCTCTCTCTCTCTCTCTCTCTCTCCCTGAGACAGAATTTAGTTCAGCTGCCTCAAACTTACAATATCCGCAGGGTCTCATGTAGCCCAGGCTAGCCTCAAACTTAATACATAGCAGAGCTGAACACCTGGTCTTACTAGTCTTCTTGAAAACTACTTCTTGACCAGACTCAGAAGGACAAATATTTCATGTTTTCTTTCACATGCAAAATCTAGATATAAACAAATACAACAGGCATGGAAGGAGAAGGCAGACTCTGAGGGAGAGGACGAGATCTAGAGGGAGGGGGAAGGGCAGCAACAAGAGAGGGGAATGATGAAAGACAGATGGTTGACTGCTTCTCTTGTAGGTAGAAGCTAGATTTGTGCATTTGTGGGGTGGTTGTGTGTGTTACTCAAGAAGGAACTTAGTTAGAGCCTCAAATACGTTGAGTAAGGGCTCTAACTTTGAGCTATACGCCTAGGCAGGGTATTTCATTATCAATACTCTCCCCCACCTCCCCACGTGTTACTGGGGATTGGATTTAGAATCTCAAGCATGCCGGGCAAGGTATATGAGCCATATGTTGGAGCAGAACATTTCAATTTTTATCGACGCCTGTCTGGGAGGGAGTATGGAGAAAGGTTTCATAAGGAGACTTGATCCTTGCTGCTTCTTCTCTTCTTCCTCCCACTCGGAGTTAACTGAACCCAGCACGAGCCTCTGCGGTTGTCCCCTGTGGGGGCTGGGTGTGAGAGAATGTTTGAGGCCAGAAGGTTCTGTGTCTTGGCACTGAGGGACTGAGTGACAGAGTGGCAGCTGGAAGGCTGCGCTGGCCTGGAGCCCTTGGCAAGGAGAGCCTAGGTCTGAGGCAAGTGT